ATCTCATCCTTCCCATCTCATCCTTCCCATCTCATCCTTCCCATCTCATCCTTCCCATCTCATCCTCCCAATCTCATCCTTCCCATCTCATCCTTCCCATCTTATCCTTCCCATCTCATCCTTCCCATCTCATCCTTCCCATCTCATCCTTACCATCTCATCCTATTCCCCAATGCTTTTCTTTTTTTAAGCATTTGAAATTCAAAACTTTCCCTTTTGCTTCTTTCATTCTTTAATTTTTATTATTCCTTCTATTCGACCCCGTAGAACCCCTATTCTTTTTCTTCCTTTTAAAGGGACTGTAAGCTTAATTTGAGTCGATCCTCCTGCCAAAAATGGCAATACCCGATTCACAAGGGTACCCGTTTAAGATTTGTCTAATCAAGTCTGAAATGAATATCAATGTTAACAATTTAAAAACTTATTCTTTCAAAGTAACTTGCGCATTTCTACTACAGAAAAATATATAAGAATGATCAGAATTACACACCTTTAAACCTGGGAAAACGACAATATCTTCCATATTATAGATTAGGTAATGGTTTCAAGGATACTGATATAAATCAGGAATTGCCATCTATGCATTAAGGGTCACTTGAAATTACACTTACAGTCCCTTTNAATTATAGGATGATACAGGAGACTGGTATTTATAGGATGATACAGGAGATTGGTAATTATAGGATGATACAGGGGATTGATAATTATAGGATGATACAGGAGAATGATAATTATAGGATGATATAGGAGAATGGTAATAATAGGATGATACAGGAGATAAGTAATTACAGAGTTAACTTATTGAGGCTAAATATGATTATTTATTTTTGATATTGACCTTTATAATATTTTTACTTTTTAAACAAGTTGTTTCACCGATATTTTTTATTTCAGGTAAATCGTGCGAAACCAGTTCGAGTTCTTAATCCAGTAGCTCAACCCCCCCAGGGGAAAAGTATGACTGGGATTTCTAATTAATCTTCGGCGCCTCTGTATCTTAAATTCATACAGTAAACTGGATAACATAGTGGAATAGGAAGACGATCTGTAGGCTCCAGTTATGATTTTAAATAGTCCAAAAAACATATAACAGGGCAATTTCGTAATGTCCACAAATCCATTTCACTTAATACGAAAATCTTCGGCACTTCTGTATCTTAACTTTATGCAATACAGTTAGATCCATAACACTGAAATAGTAGGTCGACTTTTAGATTTAGGATATGATTTTAATGGTAAAAAAAATATGAAACAGGGCAATTGTGGTGCTTTCTGCAGTGAACACCGACCCACTCTTTTACAAGTTGATTTCTGGTTAAACTAGTTGCTTTAAAACAATATCATATACACACATACGATCAAGGATGTAATGCAAGGAAAGTTATTTCAGAAGTGTACGCATCTTTTGTACTGCAGTGTACTGTCTCTGGGCGGTAATGTAAACACAAGACGGATGTCGAAGCCTAACATGGGATCCATCTTTTACATAAAAAAAATCAATAAAATATTCTGTTCAAGGAAACTATTATGTGAATTATCAAAATGATCAAAATTTAATGCTTTTAACCTCCTCGGATACTAAACGAACACTTATGCATCTATTCTTGTTTACAAATTCCGCCCAGAGAGAACTGGTTTTAATATGTACGCAGAGTATACGCGACAGCAATTAACTTTCCTTGCATTACAACCTTGAATACGATTGCTTCACCTTCCTTCGCAAAAAATATTTATAGTCATCGTCATATATATCAGTAAAATAAAGACGACTTTCGATTTCAAATTCGACCAAGATTTCAATTAACATGGATACACATAAACATGGAAACATAGAGAAGTTGTCAATTAATAACTTCTCTTTGTTTACTATCAATGTTTTAATTTCTGAAAAACATGTTGATATCTTTCAAAAACAGTTTTTAGCTTGCATAGCTTGCATTAGTGAAATAATTTCTTTAAAAAGGTACATATTCGAATAAGTTTGAAAGTTTCGCTTTTAATTGCATAAAAAATTCATTTCAGATAAAATTTTTTTCTTTAATTGTTTTTACTTTTATTTCACAATCATTGTTGCATTATCATCTTTATATTTGATATTTGGTTTGACAAACACCATGTGTTTTGTGTATAAAGTTTCCGGGTTGAAAACTACAGATTTCCCTGCTTTTTATCTAGGTTTCTTTAAAAACTGAAATCTGAGATATCTTCTCCTTCAAATCTTTTCAGGCAGCTGTGCTTAGAAGAGCGACTTTTTACAGGTTAGAAAAACAAGAAGGGAAAATAATCTATTAAAACGAGATTTGTTTACTTTACAAAATATCCAAAGTAAAATTTTTTGTTTATTTTTACATTTTTTTGCGAAAAATTTTTTATTTTAGCTTTAATGGATTTGATAATTTTCAATAAAATATTATTTTAGTTTCAATATTTTGAATTTTTTCAACAAAAACTCAGCAGGGATATTTTCATCAATACACCCCCACAAACATTTATACAGTTTTCTTGGCATGGGTGATCCTGGAGATTATCAATTACAGGGTATACAGGAGATTATTAATTACAGGGTGACACTGGAGATTAGTAATTACAGGGTGATACAGGAGATTAGTAATTACAGGGTATACAGGAGATAAGTAATTAGAGGGTGATATAGGAGATAAGTAATTACAGGGTATACTGGAGATAAGTAATTAGAGGGTGATATAGGAGATAAGTAATTACAGGGTGATACTGGAGATTAGTAATTACAGGGTATACAGGAGATAAGTAATTAAAGGGTGATATAGGAGATAAGTAATTAAAGGGTGATACTGGAGATTAGTAATTACAGGGTATACAGGAGATTAGTAATTACAGGGTGATACATGAGATTAGTAATTACAGGGTGATACAATAGATTAGTAATAACAGGGTTATACAGGAGATTAGTAATTACAGGGTTTTACAGGAGATTGGTAATTACAGGATGATACAGGAGACTGGTAATTATAGGATGATACAGGAGACTGGTAATTATAGGATGATACAGGAGACTGGTAATTATAGGATGATACAGGAGTTTGGTAATTATAGGATGATACAGGGGATTGATAATTATAGGATGATACAGGAGAATGGTAATTATAGGATGATATAGGAGAATGGTAATAATAGGATGATACAGGAGATAAGTAATTACAGAGTTAACTTATTGAGGCTAAATATGATTATTTATTTTTGATATTGACCTTTATAATATTCTTACTTTTTAAACAAGTTGTTTCACCGATATTTTTTATTTCAGGTAAATCGTGCGAAACCAGTTCGAGTTCTTAATCCAGTAGCTCAACCAAAACCTGCCAAACAGAGAGTAAACAATCCGTCCAAAACATCCAATTCGTCCAACCCATCCTCTCCAGACTGTACCCGGAGACCTACTCCAGGATCTCCGAACCCAGGACGGAACAAAACATTTCTCCAACGTCCGTCCCGGCTTCCCGTTGTATCCGTGTACAATCCTAAATCCTTATCTCCAAGTATTATACAGCACACGGAGCTGAAACCCAACCGTCCCACCAACAAATACCCCCTTCAGCCAGGTTCTTCTCCAGGTTTACCTTACTCTTCCTCTCCATCCACCTCTCTACCAGCGATATGCTCCACTATTGGAGATTCCGACCAGGTGGCTGTATCTCCTATGGATGCAAGCACCCTGAGACAATATATATCTTCTTCCCGTCCTGATAGACATGTATCCTCTCCTAAACGTGGAGATGTTACAAGAAGAGTTCCTTCGCCAATCCTTAACTCTTACAGGAGATCACCAAGCGTCTCGGTAAGTCATACGGTGGGGGCCATTATTAAGAAATCCTAAAACGACATAAAAATAAGGTTACCAGTATTTTATAAGTCTGTTAATAAAGGTCAATAAGCGTGACCTTCTCTTAAATATTATTACTTAGATTATATTAACTCTTTTTCCTGAGCTTAAAGAAGTTTGTTGAAGGTTTCAATTGTACTTCTTTCGTTTGTAGCGCCCCAGCAGCCCCGGTCAGCAGGCCGGTCGACCTACCAGCCCAGGTAGAAGAGGAAGTCGTCCACCAAGTCCTTCAAGACGAAGTAGTAGACCTCCAAGTCCGAAACACTCACTTAGAAGACATCCTTCACCGAGTCAGTTAGATCCGCATCAGGTCTTTATATTATTATTATTATTATTATTATTATTATTATTAAAAAAAAAAATTGCATTTCGAATTTAAATTTGTTCAAAAATTATCAAACTTAAAATTCGAATAAAGGTTTGAATTTTCACAAGAAACCCTGTCTAGTTTCTGGAGTAAAAACTAACAACTCTGTAATAGGAAGGCGACTTTAAGATTCAATTTATGAATTTAAATAGTTCTATGAATATAATACACATCAATTGTGCATTGCAAACAGACCCTTTACATTTAATAGGTTGATTTTCAGGATACTACTAAAACTATTTGCCTTGTAACCGCATCAAATTCACTTTATCATTACTTAAATGTCGTCTTTGTATTCCACAGTTTTTAGTTCTCCCAGTATTTCACATTTTACAAAAATTTGAGAGCACTTTTTTAGACCTGTTCCTGCCTGAAAGGCCCCGGCTGCTTGCATTTACTGTTCATCATGTTGAAGGTTTTTAAAATTGGAGAGAATGACTCCAGGTAACTTTTCAAATTTAAAGGGATTGACCGCAAATTTTGAGGGAAGTTCTGAGTAGACAAATTATTTTCATAAAGAAATATTGCCTTCTTATAATTTACTTTCATAATGAAATATTGCCTTCTTATAATTTATTTTCATAATGAAATATTGCCTTCTTATAATTTATTTTCATAAAGAAATATTGCCTTTTTATAATTTCTTTTCATAAAGAAATATTGCCTTTTTATGATTTATTTTCATAAAGAAATATTGCCTTTTTATAATTTATTTTCATAAAGAAATATTGCCATTTTATAATTTATTTTCATAAAGAAATATTGCCTTCTTATAATTTATTTTCATAAAGAAATATTGCTTTTTATAATTTATTTTCATAAAGAAATATTGCCTTCTTATATTTTATTTTCTTAAAGAAATATTGCCTTCTTATAATTTATTTTCATAAAGAATATTGCCTTTTTATAATTTATTTTCATAAAGAAATATTGCCTTTTAATAATTCATTTTCATAAAGAAATATTGCCTTTTTATAATTTATTTTCATAATGAAATATTGCCTTCTTATAATTTCACCCTTAAAGATATATTTTCAAATTTCAACATCGCAAGTGGCAACTTTATGAAAATAAACATTGCCAAATCTCTAGTATTTAATTGCTTTCACATTTGAGGAATAATCATTTGAGAAATATTTCTAACTGTTTAACACAGAACTTTAAAGACATCGAAAGTATTTATAAAATGTCGTTTTCTGAACTCACTAATAAATAATGGAATACTGCAGATATTTAGTTTTTTTAATTGAATACTTATATGGAGCTCTTCAAAACTGTTTTCTTGCATATTTCATGGGTATTTGTTTGTTTTTACAATTACTGAGATTTAGGTATAGTAGTATAAAATCTATCAGAAAATTGTCAAGACGACATTTTAAAATTTCTTTAAGTGACTTGGATGTTCTGGATTTAACTTTATGAAAAGTTAATAGGACAAATCCACCATGCAAAAAGCTTCTAAAAATCGGATTAAAAAATCTTGATTAAGGTTGACTGCTAAAGTGTTGAAGGAATATGAGATTGAATCCTTGTTCCGGGATTACCATGAGCGGAAGAATATCCGAGTTCTCCGGAGCAGACAGCAGAGCCTGGAGAACCTCGAGGACAGGGAGAGGAGGAGGGAGGAGGAGGAGGACGCCATGTGCCCGATCTGTCTCTCGGAGATGTACGAACTAGAGGAGCAGAGCACATGTTTTAGCTGCCATAATAACCTTCACAGGTTCAGTATCATTATTATTACTGTTATTATTGCCTAATTGAGATTTGGCGAAAGTAACAAAGTCAAAGTTTTTTATATGATAAAAACTTGTCATGAGCCACCAGTATTTCCCCTTCCGTGCCACATATCAGCTTTTTTCTCTTCCGGCAGCTATGAGCCACCACTTTTTCCCCTTCTGTACCACCACATTTGACTCTTCCGGGCAAAAATACTTTTTTAAATTGTATATTTAGGGCCTTTAAAGTGTGATTTTAAAAAATCCAGCCGCGTCACGCAAAAAAAGCACAACTCAAACCATTTTTTCAATTTTACTTAAGATTAATATTTTGTGTGTTGAATTCTTAAACTGTTTAACACTGAAATTTTGACAAATTTGACTGAGTATTGCATCTTGAAATGAGTGATTTTAAGTGAATAATCATTAGACTTTTTTTGTCAAATTTGTCAAAAATTTCATTGTAAAACAGATTGAGAATTCAACACCCTTAATTATTATTATTATTATTATTATTATTATTATTATTATTATTATTATTATTATTATCCTTATTATTCTTCTAGGCTGAGGCCCTGAGAATGAGGATAGGTAGGTTGATGACGGTTCGGTTGTATTTGCTCCAGCAGGTTGGATCAAACTCATTCCTAGTTGCAGGGACGGATCAAACAAGCGCTAAGGATCATAGTTCTAGGGATCAGAATTCAAGGGATCCATCCTTCAAGGAGAGTAGGGATCAAACCCAGCTCAAGTACAAAGTTAACATAGGACCACAGGTTTGTATTAAAGTTTTTTGTTTTATACTGAAGAGAAGATGCAATTTTTGGATTAGATTATTAAAATTATTTTTCAGGTCGAAGGTTTTGGTAAAAAAGTATTCTTTTTAAAAAAGCAAAAAAACTCAGGGAAGATGTAATGGATTGATGAATGCAATAGCCAGGGAGAAACTGTTCTATGTCCTCTCTGTCGGTCCCCCTGGGATTCACAGGTAAAATAAAAATTTTAAAAATGAAAATGTACTACTTACTTTTTTTTCTTATTCACCCTAAACTGAGCTTTTGGTATTTACTGCAGTTATCTACAGTACACTGACCGAACAAATGGTGGGTTTTAGCGTAAAGTGTCTTGTTCTGTTTTTTTAAATATCTGAACAATGTTCAGGTAAAACCTGTGAGTACTCCAGCTTACCATCACTTTGCTCCCTCTCCCTACACTGCTCCCTCCCAGTACTCTGCTCCTTCGGCACAGTACTCTGCTTCTAAACCGAGAAACCTAAGCCTGAGCTCCGGGTACTCAACTATATCCAGGACCAGTGATACTCTCCACATGATAGAACAGGGCGGATCTCCGGAGGATATTCCTCTGCCCAAGGCGGAACCGATTCCTCAACAGCACTGGCATCTGGCCAGCTCCTGGATTCAGCTGTATGGACGGGATCTGGTCTCGTGTCTCTTTTCCAGGGACTGGTTGAAGAGAGAGACAGGGTTGAGAAGGTTAGCTCGTGAGGTGGTGAAGATCCTGCAGCATGGATCAGGGGAGTATACGGAGAAGATGGAGAGGAGTTGGAAATGTTGTGTTGAGATCCTTCAACTTCTACTGGAGGACAAGGTTTACAAGGTTTACCTCGCAGCAGTCAAGACGCTTCGCGCCCTGCTTAACTTTCTCAACTGCAGGGACGAAACCCAGTTTCAACAGATTAAAACCCAAATCCGCCCTCTGCTACATTGTATCCTGATCAAGTGTGCAGATGGGAACCGGAGAATAAGCGAGGTCAGTACTGAAACCCTCCTGGAGATATCCCGAGGACATGAGGCTGACTTTGCTATAGGAAAGCATGCCTCCTTGAATATCTCGTATTGCGGGTTGGATCTTCTAATCCACCTAGTCCTGGAGGAGAGGGAGGTTCACGGTGTATCCTGGCAATTGATAATGGGACGTCTAGTTCTTCTTACCAGGATGCTGGAGACCCTCCCCCAGGAGTTCTCATTGGAGAACAAGAACGCCCATACTAACTTCAACAGGTTGATGATGATTATTGACTTTAGTTTTCAGAACCTGAGCAGTACACACACCAACGTGAGAAAACTAGCAAAGAAGGTGTTTACTTTAGCTGCCAGGAATACTGTAGCAGATAATACAACTTTTAACCAGGTCTGGGAGCTACTTGGAGCTCTAGATTCAACCCTAGAGATGAGAATGAAGAAGAATATTACATCTGCTGTGGAAGAGTTGTATCTAGGAGAAGCTAGATCTCAGTGCTCCTCTGTAACTCTATCCACTGGGTCCCAAAACCTCCTGGATAGATCCATGTTCTTGGAGAACTTTCTGAACGAGTGTTCTAACCAACACACGGAGCAAAATATCTGTAAATCTATTCCAGGGAAGAGGAAAGGTTGGAGACCTCCTCTTCTCCGCAGTACCTCACACAGTCCGTCCAGACAACAAGTTCGGAGCTCATCCCAGAGCCCGTCCAGGTTCTTATCCCAGAGTCCTGCTCGACACCTGAGCAAACCGATGATCAAGAACTCATTCTGCCAATCAGCCTACAATGTAAACCTACAATCCAAGCGACCAAGCTACCTACCCTTGAACAAGCCAAGGGTTTTATCAAGACTAGCACAGAAATCTAAAATCCAGGATCTAGCTCGCGATGTTCTCCCGAAGTTTGATCTGTCCTTTCTCTCTGGGTCCCCTGAAGATATGGATCTAGGTGAGGAGGTTCTGGAGATTCTCCATCCTACCAAACCAACCCGGCCTACTCCAACAAGGCAGGAGAGTACATGCAAACCAGGACGAGGGGACGGTTCCTGCAGATCTCCTCCTGTATACAGAACAAGGGGGTCTAAGGACAGTGGTCTAGGGAGTAGGACGCCCTTGTCCTCTCCGCTCCTCAGAGAGAAACGATCTGGGTCCTGTAAGGATCTAGTGGACTATGAGGAGAACCTCGCCCTAGCTCTAGCTCTATCTCGGAGTATATACCATGAAACTCCGCTCCCTCATATACCAGGACTTTCCCAGAAGATAACTCAGGATGTGCTGGCTCACCCTCATAAACAGGTATATTCATGAAAGGGACTGCAGACGTCATTTCAAGTGATCTTACATTTATTTTTGTGGCAAGTCCGATCTTTGTTTTCCAAATTGATAAGTATTAAATCCTGAACATTTAATTCCACGTCTTTATTGCGTAAATCTAAAAAGTCACTATTACAGAGAAACCACTATTGAAAATAACAATTTTTCAGCTTGAAAAACTAGAATATTTCATTCTTCAATGATGAGAAAAATGTTAAAAAGGGTATCGTTCTAAATTGGACATGCATTTCTGTGGAGGGTCACTTGATGTTTTTGTCCCATTTAATATTTGAAAATGAAGCTGATTTAACATAAAATTAACGATGTTAAAGATTTTGGAGGGAGGAGAGGAGAAACGGAGTTATCTTGAAGGAAGAGATTGGACTAAAGGACGGGTTTTGGGAACTGGAGCTTTCTCTACTTGTTACCAGGTTAAAAAAAAGAAATGAATAAATGAAATTTAAAAAGGATGAATAAATGAAACTTTGATGGATGAATGAATGAATTATTAAATGAAAGGAATTAATGAATGAATGTATAGGCCCGGGATGTTGAGACTGGAACTATTATGGCAGCAAAGCAAATATCGTTCTGCCGTAACTCTGAGGAGGAACAGGAGAAGGTAGGTTAAAGGGAGTGTTCGCTATTAAAGGGTGTGTTCGCTATTAAAGGGTGTGTTCTCTATTAAATGGAGGGTTTGCTATTACTGGGAGTGTTCACTATTAAATGGAGTGTTTGTTTTTAAAAGGAGTGTTCGCTATTAAAGGGAGTGTTCGTTATTAAATGGAGAGTTTGTGATTACTGGGAGTGTTCACTATTAAATGGAGTGCTTGTTTATAAAAGGAGTGTTCGCTATTAAAAGGAGTGTTAGCTATGAAAGCGAGTGTTCGCTATTAAAGGGTGTGTTCATTATTAATGGATGTGTTCATTATTAATGGATGTGTTCATTATTAATGGATGTGTTCATTATTAAAGGGAGCGTTCGCTATTAAAGGGAGTGTTCGCTATTACAGGAAGTGTTCATTATTAAAAGGAGTATTCTCTATAAAAGGGGAGTTTCGGTATTAAAGGGAGTGTGCGCTATTAAGGGGGGTTGTTCGCTATTAACTGGAGTGTTCTCTATTAAATGGGGTGTTCAATATTAAAGGGAATGAATTAAAGGAGTTCTGAGCAACTAAAGTGTTATTTACAAAGCATGAAACTTTTGAGATGACTTGAAGCTCTTTAGATATGACGAACTCAAAATTGAATTTGAAGGAACTGAGTAAATTCCGTATAGTCGTCTCTGAAGTATTAAACTTTCTTGGCAATACTGTGTATAATTATGTTCATCTATCAATCTATCTATCTATCTATCTATCTATCTATCTATCTATAATATTTATATAGTATTTTCAACTTTTTCAGTTAAAATAGACATTTCAGATGTTTGAATATATATTTCTTCCAAGAAAAAACGTTTCATGGGTCTAACACAATCATCAGTTGGAATAAAACTCTATACATCTCTAATGGGGATGTTTATCTGTTTTTTTGATTGAACAATAAATTGAATATATCAATCTATCTCTCTATCTATATATCTATCTATCTCTCTATCTCTAGGTTGAGGAGCTGGTAAGAGAAGAGGTTACTCTAATGTCCCGTCTCCAGCATCCTCACACTGTCCGGATGTACGGAGCTATCCAGGTATCTTTAGAGTATAGTAATCTTTGTTTGTTTGTCTGAGTGTAAGTCCAAGAATAACTCATCAACCCCTGGACCGATTTGCCTCAAATTTTGACTTGATAACTTGGTAGAACCATGGGAAGCTTGGGTTGAAAGTTGAAAAGGTTGAATTTAAAAGGGGAAATAATAGCTGGGTTTCCAAGCTGGTCCGACATCCTAAAAATTTAGAAATTGCATGCTATATAAAATTTTTTATTACGTCGTGCAAAAAAATGAGAAAAAAATCTATTCAATTCGTTTTTAATTAGCATTTTCTGTCAAAGTAAACATTTTGCATAGCATTTTGCATATTTTACGAAAGCATTTATTTATTTCATTAAAATACTCAGAATAATAAACCAATGCTATCAAGAGTTTAGCGTGCAAACCAACTATTTGCCAGGACAGGAGGTAGGAGGAGGGGGTAGGATAAACGAAAACTATGCATTTTATGCATCCTTCTCAAGCATTGTTTTGTCTAATATAATTTAATGGGTCAGCGCGCCTATCAGATTCAGGAAGTATCGTGGAACCTGTAGGCCAAGATATACCATGAATACAGATAAACAACGACAAAAAACTTTTTTTCCTTTTTATATACAATATATTGTTATTTTTGTCTCTTAATAAAATCGGGAATTGATGAAAAACTTAAAGAAAACTAGAATATTCAGATAATTATGTTTACTTTAAACTAAAGTTAAATGATTTAAAAACTTAAATCTTTCATACTTTAAACATAACTTATTTTTCCAAAGGAATTAAAACAGGGAGAGAGAGGTTGATAACTAGCTTCCTTTCATCATGAACGAGAGGGATTACGAGGAATTACAAAGTTGTAATGATAATTCCGCATAAATTGTCCTTATTCAATTATTTCTTTAAATATCTTGATGGGAAATTACTAATACGACTTTGTGATCTCCTTTCTTGTTTAGATTTATTTGATATAGAAATTCAAATTGTTTGTTCTTATAAATATTTCTTCAAGAAAAGAAATTATTATTATTGAAATCATTTAAGATTTAAATCCAACAACGTAAGATTTACTTTAATTTAAAATGTAATTAGTTTTATAGATTTGTAAACAAATTCTAATTTGTGTGTTAATCATTAGATAGAGTTTAAAAGTGCCCACCATTCAAACTGTCACATACATTATATCATATGGTCGATCCAGTGTCAGACCTTGGAATTCAGCTCGATCCTGACTCCAGATTTGCCTAGAATAGTCTAGACTTGTCTAGAATTGTCTAGAATTATCTAGAATAGTCTATTATTGTCTAGAATTATCTAGAATTGTCTAGAATTGTCTAGAATTGTCTAGAATTGTCTAGAATTGTCTAGAATTGTCTAGAATTGTCTAGAAATATCTAAAATGGTCTAGAATTGTCTAAAATGGTCTAGAATTGTCTTGAATTGTCTAGAATTGTCTAGAATTGTCAAGAATTGTCTAGAATTGTCTAGAATTGTCTAGAATTGTCTAGAATTGTCTAGAATTGTCAAGAATTGTCAGGAATTGTCTAGAATTGTCTTGAATGGTCTAGAATTGTCTAGAATGGTCAAGCATTGTCTAGAATTGTATAGAGTTGTCTAGAATGGTCATGAATTGTATAGAATTGTCTAGAATTGTCTAGAATTGTCTAGAATTGTCTAGAATTGTCTAGAATTGTCTAGTATTTTCTAGAATGGTCTCAAACTGTGTCTTTTAATATTAAAATTATTTGTCAACTTCCTTTTCATTTTTCACGACATTGATTTTTAATCAAAAACGTTTTTGCGCATTTTGGAGAATATGCTTGTTGGATCATATTCAACCCTGAACTTATAAGAATGCTGAGTCTATTCGAATATTGGATCTGTATATTTTTGTATCATATTTCTCAATATAAACAAAATACTTGAGACCTTCTAGTTCTACTGTATTTATTCTAAATCAGATAACATGACAAGGCAATGAGCAAATTATATAAATTGACAGTACATGTCAAATAACTATTTACAACACATATTACTATGGTTCACCGCAGTGATATTTAGTTTTTAAACAGAAATATTCTTTTTATCGATAAGATTAGATTTTATTTTGTTCCGAGCTTTATAAGACGTCGCGTCGTGCCGAAATAAAAGTGTAATAGGTAATTTTATGAAAAGTGTGTATACTTGTTTCGATGGAATGATTATTTCTAGATTTAATAAGTTTTTTACTATTAGAAAATTAAAGGCACACAAAATAGATAGATATAATACACACAGATTTTGCGCCGATTTACCAATAGCTTTTAATTTCGCCTACACAGACCGTTTACAGGTTAGAAAAGTGTAATAAATCAAACTGAAAATTCTGTACCAAAGATCTGGATTAGTTGAGTTGAGTTGAGTTGAGTTTATATAATCCACTGGAAACTCCGGTTAAATTGTAGTACAGAGCCGACTTTCATGTTCATGCAGCTTGAGCGATTGTTGTACAGTATACGTAAGACTACAGTACAGTACTTCAAATAAATTATGTCCTTCTTTTTGAGATTAATGAGACTAATATCTAGGAGGGGAGCCATGTCAATGTATTTGAAGAATGGATGCCGGGTGGAAGTATCTCCAGCCTACTTGACCGGCACGGACCGTTTACAGAGCAGGTCACACTGCGGTATACTCATCAGATACTACTAGGACTAGAATACCTTCATGCTAATGGGGTTTTACACAGGGATCTTAAAGGTAATTACAGATCTATCTATCTATCTATCTATTTATCTATATATCTATCTATCTATCTATCTCTCTATCTATCTATCTATATATCTATCTATCTATCTATCTATCTATCTATCTATCTATCTATCTATCTTTCTATCTATCTATCTATCTAACTATCTATCTATCTATCTATATATCTATCTATCTATCTATCTATCTATCTATTCTAGTTCTCTATGAATGAAATTATCTGATCACAAGATTGTTGTATGTTTATCTAACTATTTGCCCGTTCCCCCCCCCCCCGTGGTGCGTAGATTCATGAAGGCACTTTAAGAGGAATACTAATAAAACAAATAAATGGCGTAATACAGGACACTGAAGACTAAAATAGAAAAAATATAAATATAAATGATAAGTAAATGATAAACATATATGTAGATTTCAGAGAGACTGTAGAGTGTAGACGCAATTTCAAGTCACCTTTCATTTGAAGAGTAGCATGCCTAATTTACAACGGGCCTTGTAAAATTTTGTCCAAGCAAAAATGATCATTTTTAATTTGTGTATAGGGCATTTAAGGCTTGAAATTGAGGGTCACTTAAAAAAAGGTGACTGTCCATTTGAGAAAGATAATTTGCAGCGAAGAAAACCTTGAAAGGTTAATAATAATAATTTTTACTTAGGAGCAAACTTACTGGTTGATACATCCGGCCATCAGCTAAGAATTGCAGATTTTGGAGCCGCTGCTAGAATGCTTTCAGGATTTACTATTCCAGGTAAAAAAGCCTTGCCCGTTCTGGGTCAAATCCAGTTAGTAAAGTCCAGCCCAGCCCTGGGTTGAATTCAGGTAAATAGTCCTGCCCAACCTTGGGGTAAATCCAGGTAGTAAAGTACAGCTCAGCCCTGGGTCAAATCCAGGTAGTAAAGTCCAACTCAGCCCTGGGTCAAATCCAAGTAGTAAAGTCCAGCTCAGCCCTGGGTCAAAAACAGTTAGTAAAGTCCAGCCCAGCCATATGGGTCAATTCTAGGTATAACAGCCGAGCCACGCCCTTGGTCAAATCCTTGGTAAAGCAGTCTAGTCCTGGTAAAAAAGCTTAGTCCAGCTTTAGGTCAGAACCGAAATGAATTAAATTCAGGTAATAAATTCCAACCTTTCCTTGTCTCTTTTTTTTACGTTTTTCAGCTGAATCTCATTTATTGTTTTCTATTTAAGGATTCTTTCTTTATCAACAGTTTTTTATTTCATAATAGTTTTATCGGAGGGATGGTTCACTGACATGGAGTCAAACGACTTAGGGTCAAAAGACCCAGACTCAAACGACATAGGGTCAAACGACCTAGGGTCAAACAACATAGGGTCAATCGCAAAGGGCTAAAAACGCGACGAAGGGTAAAACCACAAAGAGTAAAAATGAAGAAAAAATATTTTATGTATTATTTCAGGGTTAGGATAGGTTAAGACAATTTCTAAGCCGAGTGCTGCGATTAGGAAAGGCTAGGGGCCCGAGCACTGCGTCAACTAGTTCTAATGAACATAAAAAAGTTTAAATCAACCAAAAAAAATAGTCCAGATGAAATTTTCCCCTGTTGTCTCACTTTTTGACCCTATGTCGTTTTTACATGTGTTGCGTTTTGACTGTTTGTCGTTTGACCCTAGGTCGTTTTTTCCCTTTGCTGCGTTTTGACCGTTTGTCGTTTGACCCTAGGTCGGTTTACTCAATGTTGTTAGAACCTGTGTTGTTGAATCGGAGGGATACCTATCTATCTATTTATTATACTTCGGAAACTATTATTCCACCGGATATTGTAATATATGATCTGTATACATTCGATGGAATACTTTTTCGTTTTTAATGAATTTAACAAACTTTATTAAAAATATCTAGTCTCCGAAACTTTTAAAAATTTGATCCTTTCTCAAAATTACAGAGTATAACACTATACAGTGTAATAACTAAGTTGGAAACAGCCTGGTCATAATTTAATAATTCCATTCTTTTCAGGGGAGTTTCAAGGGGAACTTCAGGGAACTGTTGCTTTCATGGCCCCTGAGGTGCTCAGGGGCGACAGCTATGGTCGCGCCTGCGATATTTGGTCTCTAGGGTGCACGATTATAGAAATGGCGACAGGGAAACCGCCCTGGGGTGAACACCAAGTCTCAAATCGCTTCGCGCTGATATTTAGGGTAATTTTATTTTTAGTACATTTTCTAAAATATTGTTAAATGTTATTTTGTTTCTCTACTATCCCTGCTCTAATACCTTATGCTCAATCTCCCAGCCAACATTGTATTATGATAATCATATTGCACCCCCCCCCCCCATAATACTCCAGCCTTAATTGAGTGTAGATATTTTTACCACTTTTAAGGGGGTCTTTAATGTTTTTGCAATAGGGTTTGACATTGTTTGTTATTTATTTGATTTATTCGAGAAAAAAATTATTTCATGTTATTTTGTTCTTTTTATTTTAGTCTTTGAAATTAAGCGCAAAATTGAAAAAAAAATATTTTAAAGCAAATTCTATGTTTTGAAATTGATCCCCAACCCTTATTGGAGAAGCAGGACCCCCACTTGATTTCATACCACAGTGGGCAGGGGGTCTACACTAGATTTTTAATTTGATTTATGTAAAAATTATTATAATCAATGCAGTATCATTGTTATTATCATTATTATTATTATTATTATTATTATTATTATTATTATTATTATTATTACTATTATTATTATTATCATTATTATTATCATTATTATTATTATTATTATTATTATTATTATTATTATTATTATACTAACATAGTTCATCCAGCTAACATAGTTCATCCAGTTAACATAGTTCATCCAGCTTTCGTAGTTCATCCAGGCTCCAGCTTCAATACAGTGATAACCAGAAAACTCTGAAATAGGAAGTCGACTTTTAAACTCAAGTTATGACTTTAAATGGAAATGAGACACATCAGTGCAGTATAAACAGACCCATTTCACTTAAAAATTCCAATTCTACAGGTTTCTGGATATCACTGTGGTTCATCCAGCTTTTAAGGAGCTTTAAAAATTCTTTTCTTTATTAGTTGAGAATTTTAAGAGAATACAGTGCTCCGCGTTCATATCAATTCTATGTTAAGAAAACTTCTCAATTTAAGTTTTGATTTCTAACAATTGCTTTTATCAAATTACAAGTTTACAAGGAAACAAAGAGAATGTGATAATTGACAACTTCTCTTTCTTTCCATGTTTATATATGTCCATGCTGTTTGGAAGCTTGTTAAAAATCAATAAAACTGAAATCGACCGTCTTCATTGCATTGATATGTACAACGACGACAGTAGCTCACACAATTCATCTCTCTCACCTACTTAGTCCTCTCTCATCTACTAAGCAAACTTCTTATAAATGCTCTTGTTTAAGCTCATCAAGCGATCACCAAGGAGTTTTTATGAATCAATTTAATTCCCTGGTTTAAACCTGTTTCCTGACCCCAAGTTAGCTTTGTACACTCGTTGTACAGCGTACAGTTTGTTGCGGAACTTATGTTTACATTTTACAGTTTGTTGCAGTACATAATGTTTACATTTTACAGTTTGATTTTTCTCGTAGCTTCAAACTGTAAATAGTTGCTTTTAATACATTAAGTGTACAGTGTTTGCATGCAATTTGATTCTACATTTGTCTATAAAGCTGTGCAGTGTACGGGTGACACTGTATAGTGTACAAATGTGCTGAAAATGTACAACAAACCCACTATTATATATACAAAACTTACCATATAAAGGGTTTGTACATTTGTTAATCCTTTCTGCCTATTTTTGTATATAATTATACAATATATAAATCAATAAGACTGCTATTTTTGAGAACTTGTATTTTATATTTTGGCATTTTTAACGTTTTAAAAGTACTTAAAATCTCCGCTCTTTTTTAATTGTACAGAATGTACAGTGCCAAAAGGAGATTATATATTTTACTCCTATTATACAATACATTGTACAATGTACATATGTGTACATACGGTTTATATACTCCTTGTAAAAACTATGATATTTTAGAATAGTTTTATCCTTGAAGACTTGAACAAAAATTTTACAATTTTGGCAGAAATATTCTTATTTCATCATTTTGATCTCTAGTTTTGTGAAACGACATTGTTACCAGTTTCTGCATTCTTTTTATTTCAAATCATCGATCAAATCGATTTAAATTTTTATGTTTTTCTTAATTTTTTGCTAGTCTTTTTTAGTTTTTTTGATGTATTTTTCCGTGTAAAAACGTCCACTTATATTGTTATGCTATGTACAAACTTGTAAATCTTTACAAAGTATTAAATTAAGAATAAATTATTAAGTTGAAATTTTGTCAAAAAAAAACGAGTTGGCAAATTTGAATAAGTGAGTTCTAAGTAAGTAAGTGATTTTTCAATTGTGCGGTATTTCATTTTAAATTTAAGATAGTTGATGAATGGGAAAATTATCAAGTGAGTGAATGTTTTGGTTGGTGAAGGATTAACGTTAAAACTTTTAATTATTCGTTTTCTACGTTACAGTTCAATTACAGTTCAATTACAGTTCAATTACAGTTCAATTACAGTTCAATTACAGTTCAATTACAGTTCAATTTACGTAACGGTTTAGGGCTGATAAACGGTCCGTATAACGAACGGCAGTTTAATTGCGAATAATGTCGTTAACGAGCGAAAAATATGTTAATTTTCAAATCGTTAACGAGCAAAATGAAGTGCACATTAAAAACAGACGGTAAATTTTAAAGATGGGAAAAATTCTAATTTTTTAAAATTTGTTTGGTTTCATTTGCATACATATCTATTTGTCATTCTATTTTTCCCGTTTAATATAAATGAGTTTTAACTGAACCTTTCTTGTCGTTCGTTAAAACAATACCTTCTGTGCGTTAGACGAAACTTTTCTTGGTTCTAATTCGTTGTATTCGTTGCATTGACTAAAAATGATGACACACGTAAAAATAACAATTTACAATGAACATCCTGTCTGTATCCACCATTCAGTATAATTTTAATCCGTCGAAAATATAATTATAATTATTTATTACTACTTTCCAGGGAATTTTACTTTACCGTGGGTTCCCAAGACCAATTTTTCCTTCAAAACATCCAGAGTGCAGCAAGGGACGTTTTTTAGACAACTTCGCAGAGCGGGTCCCAAGGGCAGTTAAGATAACTTATCCTCCCTCTGTTGGGCGGTTAAGTTACTTCATAGGTCGGTAATCTAGGTTAAAAGGTGGTTAACAAATTATTTACTTTGATAATAAACTATATAGTCATAAAAACAGTATTTCAATAAACAATAAATATTTTCATTTAATGATTTTACGGGTGATGCTCTTTTTACCCAGACCCCTAGTTTACCCGGCCCATAGTTTACCCAGACCCCTAGTTTACCCAGACCTCTAGTTTACCCGGACCCTAGTTTACCCAGGCCCCTAGTTTACCCAGACCTTTAGTTTACCCGGACCCTAGTTTACCCAGACTGCTAGTTTAACCAGACCCCTAGTTTACCCGGACCCTAGTTTACCCGGACCCTAGTTTACCCAGACTGCTAGTTTATCCGGACCCTAGTTTACCCAGGCCCCTAGTTTACCCAGACCTCTAGTTTACCCGGACCCTAGTTTACCCAGGTCCCTTGTTTACCCAGACCTCTAGTTTACCCGGACCCTAGTTTACCCAGGCCCCTTGTTTACCCAGACCTCTAGTTTACCCGGACCCTAGTTTACCCAGACCCTAGTTTACCCAGATTGGTGTAAACTGCCCCAAAATCAAAATTTGGTTTATATGTCAATATTTCCTTGTGTCTGTGCGTTATCATAGAATCTTTTCTTTTATTTGTGATAATCGTGAATCAAAATAAAATCACACTTGAAAAAAAAAAATCAGCAATGCATGTTTTTTCCTTGCGCTTTTGCGTTTTCATTGCAATCTTTCAACTTTGTTAAAAACTTTGATTTCATTTCAAAAAAAATTCATTGCTCTCAATATTTCAGGGATTGAAGAAGACACCTTGCACTGAAAATAGTCAGCGAAAGTTCAACTATAAAAGTACATATACAAAAAATAATTTTTTTTTCCTGAGACTTCTATGATCTATGAAGAATGTAGAGTACAGGGTAAAACAATGAAGGATGATGATAAAGGTTAGAACTATGAAGAATATGTAGATGAGTAAAACTATGAAGGATGTAAAAAGAAGGCTAGTACTATGATGGATGTATAACTATATAGAGTGAACTATAAAGGATTGAAAATGAAGGGTAGGACAATGAAGGAAAGAACTAGGAAGGTTAAAAACTATGAAAGGTAGAACTAAGGTTAAAAATATAAAGAATGTAAAATAAAGGGTAAAACTATGAAGGTTTGAACTACAAAGAATGTAGCATGAATGTTAGAATAAAGGTTAGAACTATTAAGGGTGTAGAATGAAGATAAAACTTTAAGAAAAGGGTTTATAGTGAAGGTTAGACCTAGGAAGGATGTATAATGAGAGTAGAACTTTGAAGAATTTAGAATAAATGTTAGAACTATGAAGGATGCAGAATCAATGTAAAACTATTAAAAAAAGTTTTTGGAGTGAAGGTTAGAATTAGGAAGGAACAATGCCAAAAGGCATTTTTAACCAGTGTGATCTCAGAGTCACAAACCGGTTTTCTCCATGTGGTTTAAATTTTACTTCTAAGAGAAGGCCAACGAATAAATGTCGCAAATTATTTCTAAGATCAAAGACTACCTTCAATTCGTCTTGCTAATATCATGTTTCTTGGGACACGCTGTAGTCTGCAGATAACAGAGTCTTTAGAAATTACAAACGTATTAATTTTAAAATCTAACATTTTAAGAAACAAACTTGTAAATATTTACCATCACTTGTCATTGGGGTTTCTTGTGCTAGACCTAATATTCGTAATTTCTCTGACACTCTGTTTAAACTCTGTCAAGTCCTGAACCAGGCGCGTACACAGGATTTTAGCCAGGGGGGGCAATATTGCCCCCCCCTGACTGTTTTTTGCCCCCCCCTTGAATTGTTTTATTAAAAAAGTCAATTAACACCATAAAAATACACCAAAGAGACTACATTTTTGGGTGTTACTAACCTTATAGAGTCTAAAATTTATTCCTTTGCTCGAAAAACTAACTTTTGCTTATTAACTTTGTAAATTTATCACTTAACTCCATCACAGCTAACTAAATCAATTATCAAAGCATCATTAAAAAATCATATTTTCACTAATAAANCGACATTTGATAAATTCTTCCGATGTATTCGTTATTGGGGGTTTCACTGTAGTTCAAGCCTTCATCCTATGTCCTTTATAGTTGTAACCTCCATTCTACATTCTTCATAGTGTTAATCTTCATTCTACATTCTTTTTAGTTCCAGCCTTCATTCTACAACATTTTAGAGATCAAACCTTCATTCTATATCCCGCATAATTCTAACCTTCACTCTAAATTCTTTATAATTCAAGCCTTCATTCTACATTCTTTATAGTTCTAATCTTCATTCTACATTCTTTAAAGTTCAAGCCTTTAGTGCTTTGCTACTTTACTAGTAAAAATATTTGTTTTGTAACATCATCAAAAAAGTATAATCTCGTCTTTCTATCCCATTGTTTTCTGGTTAGCACTGTATGAAATATCTAACATTAATAACAACTGCAGCAGACTTGCAATAAGGATTTTTTTAGAAAGATTTTTTTTGGTTTTGATAAGAAAATAATTCAAAACAACGAATAAATAATCACCTTGAACATTTGTCGTTTTTTAAATCAGTTCCTTTATGAGAGAGAGATAAACATTTATGATAAAACACACAACCAGCCTATTAGTACTATAAATAAAAAGAAACAATTTAAAAAAAAAAAACTTTTAAGGTCCTTTAGTCAATACCCCTCCCCCTTTAGGACACCCCTGTGGATGTATTAATGTATGTTTATATAGCTTGGATATATATTCCGGGTCCCCCCCTCTTCCAACCTTAGTTTAAAATGCTTTGATGAACATAAAAATGTTGATAAA